ATAGATTAACACAGTGGCTGCAATGACAGGCTCAAGTATAGCAAGGATTGTGAAGCTGGTGAAGGACTGGGCAGTTTTTCATTCTATTTTTGTACACAGGGTCACTATGAGTTGGAGCCAACTTGACAGCCCCTAACAACAACAACAAATGTAATACCTTTCAGAGCAGTAGGTAGTGATAGCCAGATGCCATCTAGTTCTTCCGGTCTCATGGTCATAGAGGCTGAGGTTCATGTAGTCCACTAGTACAGGACTAAGTGTTGCCATGTGTCTGATTTTCTTCACTCTTCTTTGCTCTGGATGGGGAGAAACGTATAGTTGCACCTTAGATCACTGCTCACAGGCTTTTAAGGCCTCAGTCACTACTCACCAAAATAGGCTGGAGAACATTATCCTTGTGGACTATGTTGTACCAATTGACTGTGATGTCCCCTGAGACTATGGTCCTAAGTCCCCAGGCCCAACAACTCACTCCCTCGAGACTTTTGGTTATGGCCAGGAAGTTTTCATACCATATGCCCTACAACATCCATGGATATATTTGCAGCATATGTAAATATATACGTAGAAATAGCTTCTGTCAAATCTAGAGATATTTGTGGGTAGAGCCACATTCTCCTTCCCACGTCTGTTCTGCTTGTATGTCTATCTATGTATCCACTCACAGATTATTGATCACTGTCATTACTGTTATTGCAGGATTGTGTATGAATTAGTATTTACTCCTGTTGCTTTTAACTCTTGTGAGTCATGGTGTCCTCTATCCCCACATTTCAGATCACTCTTTTACGATCACTTTGCGAACTCTTCTCATTCTACTTTATTCTCGGATTAGGTATTTTATAGAATTAATTCTTATCTCAATCTCTCACCATCTAAACTCTTTATATTAGCACACCCCTTTAACTTTTGAAATGGTATGTTAACATTTTCTAATCCATGGCAAATACAGTGGACTCACAGCTAACACTGGGAATGTTGCATTTTAAAGGTCAAGCAAATAAGAAATCTGATGAATAGAGTGCTTGACCGCACTGATCCTGAAATTGGAGATGAAAGAGATAGGGATTGTATATAGCCTCTCTTTTCTTCTCCACACTCACTGCTCTGTTGTTTCAGACTCATAGCGACCCCTATTGGGTTTCCAAGGCTGTACATCTTTACGGAAGCAGACTGCCTCATCTTTGTTCTGCAGAGCAGCTGGTGGGTTTGAACCACTGATCTTCTGGTTAGCAGCCACATGCCTTAACCACTACACCACCAGAGCTTCTTTTTCTTCTCCTTATTCCTCTTTTATTCATTTTCCATGCTTGTGTGTGTGTGTGTGTGTGTGTGTAAAAGGGTGAGAAAGAGGAGAGGAAAGCAGGTGTTGGATAATATTAGTAATTGGTAAAATGTATATAAGGAGCTCTAGTGGCATAGTGCCTAAGGCATTTGACTGTTAATCAGAAAGCTGGTGGCTCAAACCCAGCAGCCATTCTCCAGAAGGAAGATTGGGCACTCTACTTCCATAAAGATTTACCACCTTGGACTCAATGGCAGTGAGTAAAATGTATACAAACCAAAAAACAAACACAGTTGTCCTCAAGTTGATTGCAATTCATGGTGACCCCAAGTATTGCTGAGTAGAACTGCACTTCATTGTTCTAAGGAGTGCACCTCCCTAGTGTAATTGTTCACCTTGTAGGATTGTCTGTTGTTTAGCTGAAGGGTAAGCCACAGAGAGAGTTCAATTACAGGCCTGGCACCACAGTCTTGGGGGTTTCATCAGTCTCTAGCGGACCAGTAAGCCTGGTCTTTTTTATGATTTTGAATTGTGTTCCACATTTTTCTATCCAGGATCTCCAATTTTGATCACCACCCAGGGACTTTTAAAATGTATACAGGCATACTTCATTTTATTGTGCTTCACTTTACTGTGTTTTTTTTTTTTTTTTTTTTTGATATTGTTTTTTTTTTTTTTTTTTTTTTTTTACAAAGTAAAGGTTTGTGGCAACCCTGCTTCAAGCAAATCTATTGGCACCATTTTTCCAACAGCATGTGCTCACTTCATGTCTCTGTGTCACATTTTGGTAATTCTCACAATATTTCAAACTTTTTCATAATGCTATTGGACACTTAATAGACTACAGTATATAAAAAAAACAACAACACAGTGGTGTCAAGTTGGATCCGACTCATAGTGACCCCTCCTAGGGTTTCCGAGGTGGTATCACTATGGAAGTAGATTGCCAAACCTTCCTTCCGAGGAGTGGTTGGTAGGTTTGAATTGCCAGCCTTCTGGTTAGCAGTCAAATGCTTTAGGCACTATGCCACCAGAGCTCCTAGACTTGATTGTATAGTATAAACATAAATTCTATATGTTCTAAGCCAAAAAATGTGTGTGACTTGCTTTATTGAAATATTCACTTTATTGCCGGGGTTTGGAACAGAACCCACAATATCTCCAAGGTATGCCTATACAGCTATTGAGTAATTTAATGCAAAAACACATACAGGGTTGAAATCAGAGTGGGAGAAGCAGGTCTTTTGGATTGAGGAAATAGGGCTGAATCATGGATGCTAAGGTGGTAGTATTCTAAATTAGTACACATATATTTCTTCAGGGGTACACTTACAATCTACCAGTAATTTACAGTGACACACCCACAGCATTTCAAAGTGTGCAAGTTTTATTTTTGGCATAGCCCCTCCTATCTCTCTCCCATCTCTTGTCTCCTTTTATCTTACCTCTAGATTACCCAGTTGTCCTCACAATGAACTCTGGTTTCCTAAAATCATTTTGGTACTCCTGTACTCCTTGCCATCTCTTTCCCTTTCTCCAGGCCCCAAATCAAGTCTTATTCCTAGACTGTGCAAGAAGGTAATTGGCCTGTTTATCTGATGAAAATAACCAGATAGAAAGGAGTCTTAACTCCTGTTCAAAATATATACTTTAAAAGAGGAAGTTGTTAACTCTATTGGGTCTCTCGGTCTAGAATAAGTGCCTTTCCATCAGCATCCAAAGGAACCCACCCCCAGAACAATTAAGAAACACTAATCTAACTGGCAAAATGTAAATGCCAACATGTTTAAACTGGGGACCCTATGTGCCTTCCTGGATGAGTCAGAGGAATTATCACAGTCCATTCTCATGCATCCTGAAATCTGATGAGCCTCACAGCTTTTTCCACTCCCCTCTTCCCTTTTGCAAACAACTTAACTCACAGTAGAATGAGGAATTTCTTGGACAGAATGAAGGGTAGAAATACAGAAAGCAGGTATATGGCCAAAGAGCCTATTTGATATATTTTTATTAAATATTTTTTTTTCTAAAATATGGCAGCTAACAACAATGTATATACATATCCACACACATGTATTTTTTTTCATTTTAAAAATAAAAACTACAGACAAGTTGAAAGAACAATACAATGAGAGACCAAATATCCTTTAACTAGATTTACCAATTTGCTAACTGTTGTCACATTTGACTATTCAGTTATGCTAAACCTTTTGAGACTAAGTTGCATATATCAAAAACTTTTATCCCTAAATACTTCAATGTGTATCTCTTAATAAGGATACTCTCTAATATAACCATCCCACAATGATAACATTCAAGAAATTTAACATTGAAACAATTTATTGTTGTTACTGCCCTCAAGTCAAGCAGACTCATGGCAACTTTATGTAGAATGGAATGAAACATTGCCAGGCCCAGCATCATTCTCACAATTGGCAGTATTCTGAGTCCATTATTACGGCTATTTTGCCAATCCATCTTACCAAAGGTCTCCCATGTCCTCATTGTCCCTCTGCTTCACCAAATTTGATGTCCTTCTTCAACAATTGATCTGTCCTGATGACAAGTCCAAAGCAAGCAAGCTGAACCGTGTTGTGATCTATAAGGTTCTCTTTAGCTAATTTTTCACCAGGCCTTTTTTCTAGTCTATCTTAGTCTGGAAGCACGACTGAAACCTGTCTGTTAAGGGTAATTATGTTGGTATTAAAAACACCAGTGGCATAGCTTCCAACATCCAAATCCATTGCTGTCAAGTCAATTCTGACTCATAGTGACCCTATAGGACAGGGTTAAATTGCCCCATAGGGTTTCCAAGGCTGTAATCTTTACAGAAGCAGACTGTCATATCTTTTTCCTGTGGAGGTGGTAGATTGAAACCACCAATCTTTCGAATAGCAGCCAAGAACTTAACCACTACATCAGCACAGTACAATAAACTCACAGACACATGGTAAACTGAAATAATGCTATAAATCTAATATACAATCCATGTTCAAATTTCAGCAATTGTTCTAAAAAAAATTTATCTTTTTCCCAGTCCAGGATTCATATGTTGCCTTCAGTGGCATGTCTCTTTAACTCCTTTAATCTTGAACAGTTCCTTAGCCTTTCTTTGTCTTTCATACAGTGACAATTTTTAGCTCAGTACAGTTGTTTTGTACAGTGTTTCTCAGCTTGCATTTTTCCCAATTGGTTTTTGATACTTAACGCTTTTATTTATTTATTTATTTATTTTAGCAGGGATACTACATAAGAAATACTGTGTCCTCAGTGCCTCACATCAGGAGCACATTATGCTATTGTAACCAATAACTGTGATGGCAACTTTGATCATTTGATTAAGGTGGTGTGTGTCAGATTTCTCCACTGTAAAGGTACCATTTTCATCCCTTTGTAATGAATAAGAGGACCCCCTAGGTGCAAATGGTTAACACACTCAGCTGCTAATTGAGAGGCTGCAGGTTCAAGTTCACCCAGAGGTGCCTCAGAAGAAAGGCCTGTAGATCTACTTCTGAAAAATCAGCCATTGGAAAACCTACAGAGCACAGCTTACTGTGAACTACGTGAGGGTACCATGTGTTGGAATCAACAGCAACTGGCTAATGAATAAGAAATCTGAGGATACTTTGAGACTATGTAAATATCCTGTTTGCCCAATGATTTTAGCATCACTGATAATTTTTGTGTGAATCAATTATTACTATAATGGGTAAAAATGGTAATTTCCTTATCACCAAATCCTTCGCATGTACGTATTAATTGGCATTTTGTTTTAAAAGCTTTTTGCTGCTTTTCCCTTTATATAATTTATTCATTTAAATTTTTAAGAGTAAGTATGGAGTCATGGATTCTTTTCCAATGTAATATAATCCAAATCTATCATTGTTCATTCTTGTCCCAGACTTAGCATGTAAGGATTCCTTCAGGCTGGCTCTTTAGTGAAGAATGGTATTTAGAAACCAAAGTCTGGAACACTTAATATATTTCAAGTTATTAAAATATCACCATTCCTATTTTCTTGAGTTAACATGATGCAAGACTGGTGTAATGACTTACCTGCATGACCTTGGCAATTCTTTTCATTCTTTGAGGCCTGGTTTTTTACATGAAAAATATTTTTTAACCTTTTTCAGGTCATCAAGTTTGGGAATCTGATCAAAGCTATGGTCCCATCTCCCACTAACATGCTCATATAAGCAAAAATTCGAAGCCCCTGCATTAAGTGATCTCCAAGTTCTCTTCACTCTGTCTCTCTGAGTCTATGTGAGATGTGCTGCTCTCAGAATGATCCCTCGGAGATATCAAAATGTGGAGGGATTTATATAGACGCAAGATGAGAAAAGGATGCAAAGAAAGCAGCCTCTGAGCAACGCATTGCTCAACTACAGTTCTTTGCCCTGCCAAATATAGGACACGCTGTACTCAAAGGTGAGAGGTTTTGGGGGGACGGTCCCCTGGTGGGCGGAGAACGCTGGTGCAGTGGGAGACTTCAGCTCCGATCCAGGTCTTTGCACCGTTCGGTCCGGCCCGCAGGGCTCGCTCTTGCCCTTCGTCTGGGAGGCAGAGGAACTGGGCGGGCTGGGCGGCGACCCCGCCCCCGGCAACAGCGAGCTGTTGGGGATAGGAGAGAGTGCGGAGCACGGAAAGAGCAAGCCGAGTAAGCCCGAGCCCCGCCCCACCTCGCCTCAATCCAGCCGCCGACGTCTGCTGTGCTCTGGTCGCCATGGTGACCAATTGAGGCTCGGTCCCGCCCCCGCCCCCTTGCCCCGGCCCCCTGACGTCGGTGCACGTCAGCGGCGGCGCGCGCCTGGCTGGGCCCTGCGGAGCGGGAGGGTAGGAGCCACGGAGCGAGCGGAGCGGCTGTTGCCGGAGCTGAGCCCCGCCGCCCGCTTGCGCTCAAGTCCTCGGTGTCCAGCAGCGGGTCCCAGCATGGTCATGGCGGATGGTCCGAGGCACTTGCAGCGCGGGCCTGTCCGGGTGGGGTTCTACGACATCGAGGGCACGCTGGGCAAGGGCAACTTCGCCGTGGTGAAGCTGGGGCGGCACCGGATCACCAAGACGGAGGTGCGGCCCGGGGAGAGGGGGGAGCGTCAGACGCGAGGGTTCGGGAGCGAAGCTGTTTACTGAAGAGGCGGTTGCAGTGGTGGGACTGGGAGACCCGGGAGGCCGGGTCACTAGCTGAGGGTGGTTCTGGGGATCCGGGAGCACCGAAGGGATTGGGGCCCGCTCACCCGGACTCGAGTGTCGTCCGTTGGAAAGCCGACGACCTGGGGTTTTGCTTTTCCCTATTCCACCACCGGTGGCCACACGATCTCGACCAGAGCCTCCCACCCGGGCCGTGACCCGGTCTGTGGCCTCCGCTCCGGAGCCCAAGTTCCGCGTCTTCCCTGCTTTCGGCTGGGGGTGGGGTGGCAGAGGAAGTCTCCGCGCTCCTGGGCTACGCGGTGAGAGACGTCGCCGGCCGGTGGAGGGGACCGCCTGGGCTCCAGCCTCGCGGAAGGGGAATCGCGCGGCGCCAGCGGTCCCGACGTCCCTGTTCTGCCGGGCGGGAAAGGGGCCCCCGCGCCCGGCAGTGCTGGGACAGCCGCTGTCCGTCTTCTCTCCCTTCCTTTTCCCGAGTGTATCTGTAATGTAGTGTGAGGCTAGCTTGATCTCATGCCTGAGGCATTTCCATCTAATACTCCAGACAATAGAACTGGTTAAAATGGTCATCTCTGGATTTGCACAATTGGTACGCTGATCTTTCTTATCCAGAGTTGTCACTTTAACAAGTGTGCTAATAGCTGTGAATACATTTTCTTAAGCCACATCCGATTCTGCATCTTTAGTCTTAACCTCATCAACTGCATCTTGAGGGTGGCTCCAACATTCCCCCTCTATTGCACATCTAATGCACCACATATTTTTTCACAAGTCTCTGTTCTTATCTAACCCACCCCCCTTTCTTCTACTGCCTCAAGCTGCTTTCCTCAGGGTCTCTATTTTAAAGACGTGCAAATTAAATATCTTAGATAATAGGTAGAAACAAAGCCGTTCTTTAGAATGAAGCCTTGTGTTTTTGACGTACTCAGCTTGATTGTAGTTGATGCAGGAGTTTCATCCTTTTCTCTATTAAGCCCCTCCCCCATTAGTACATTTTTGTGCACAGATGAACTAGAGTTTGAATGTGGAATAAAGTTAATGGACATTTTCTTTCTAGAGGACTTTTTTCAGAATGTCGTATGTAAGGTGAAGTGCATTTGAAAACTTGAGTGATTGTTGTAGCTGTTGTTCTTAGAAGTTTTGTTTCATGTGAAGGAGCCCGCTCTCAAAAAGAAAGGGAGTATGTCATTTTATCATCTTCAGTTTTTGGCTTCTCTGTTTCTAAAGCATCCTAAATCAGACTTATATTTCAGCATCAGGACCAAGGTCACATTTCCTCTCAGTAAATTTACCAGTGTTAGCAATTTAGAGTAAGTTGGTAATGAATGTATAATATGACTGTAATGAAATTACTAAATTTTTGTGTAGTTCAATTTGATCTGAATATTTTTAAAAATGAAGAAAGAAATTGGCTCTATTACTCTAAGGGGCTATAGTCTCATTCCAAGTCAATTCTGGTTATTTCCCCCTTAAGCTGTGTAAAAGAAGGCATTTAAAATGTATGTTTGTATATGAGTCCTTGTTCAATGAGTGTCAAAAAAATACCTACAAAACTATTGAACTAAATTACGTGGTTGAATTCCAAGCCCATCAGTTTTTGATACTTTTCTCTCATCAACTCCTATCAGTATTAGTAACAAGATCTCATTAGGTCAACTGTTATTTATCAGGTCAAATTCCCCTACTATCTGTTTAGGAGCTGCTTGAGTGCCAGTGACACTCCTGAGGCTAGCAATTCAGATGTCCCTTTTGAACTGCTGATACATCTCACTGAGCTAGGGGGCACTGTGGAGTAGTATCATCTTTTGGGTATACACTATGGTGAGATTAATACATTTGTAATTCAAGGCACAGGTCAGATCGTGGAAAAGCACTCGTCTTAAATTGTGTACGTATGTGTGTGTAAAATGATTTAAATGAAAAATTAAATTTCTAGTCCATAGAACTTATCTCCCTTTTGCTTTTCAAAAGAAGGTACTGCTAATTAACATGTAAAAAGATGTGAATTTTACGATGAATGAGTGTATGTGTGTTGATTTGAGACTGTGGAAATCCTTTGGTGGCACAATTAAGTGCTGGACTACTGGCCGAAATGTTGGAAATTTAAACCAACCCAAAGGCTCCTCTGAAGACAGACTTGGTGATCTGCTTCCAAAAGGTCACAAACTTGAAAACTGTATAGAGCAGTTCTACTCTGCACACATGGGATTGCCATGAGTCGGAGTCCACTTGATGGCAACTAACAAGGTAGAAATAGGTGAGGAAAGTAGCAAGGTCAATGCCAAACAGGAAAGTTCCTGTCAATCTCAACTTTGTAAAAGTTGTTCTTTGAACTTTTATAGGTAATTGACATTAAGAATTGTTTAGCAGCAGCACAAATACAATTGTTTCTTAAAGTATACCATTTGTTATTAATGAGCTTTTTACTTTATTTGTTATGTTCATTCACTGGCTAAAATTTGCACGACTTTGATAAATTAGAACAATTACCTCAAATGTAAAGAAGAAATTACTTTAGGTTCGCCTTACAGTACATACTGTAGCAATTACAGTGAGAACAATTAATATGGTATAAAGAACAATAGCAGCAAAAATCATGTTTATAAAAGTTTCTTCAGTATTGTAAGCTTTTACATAAATATAAATTTGTGTGTTTTGAAACTTAGAGGGTTTTTTTTCTCCCCAAGTTTGGACCCAAAGCAAATTTTAGGGCTTAGTTTAAACATCTAAGGAGCCCTGGTAGGACAGTGGTTAAGCTCTTGGCTGCTAAACACAGGTTGACTCTTGAACTTACCAGCCTCACCCCAGGAGAAAGATGTGTTAGTCTGCTTCTGTAAAGATTGATAGCCTTGGGGACCCTCTAGGCAGCTCTACTCCGACTTGTGTGATTACCATGAGTCAAACTCTACTTGAGTCAAAATCTACTTCACGGCAGTGGGTTTTGGGTTTAAACATCTAGGCGATGAACAGTTGGACCTTTTTGCTTTTAATTGGCTTTTTTCCATCTACTGTTCTGTGTCATCAGTCCTCCCAAATGATGTGTTTTCTACAGACTTTGGAAGAATCAAGAAGTTAATTTGCCTTTTAGAAAAAGAAGGTAGACAAAAGAGAACTTCATATTGGTCTAACCTATCAAATAGCTTAACACTGTTAGAGAAATATAATTACTTAATCATCTGAAGTGGTATTCTTAGATCTCTGTGTAAATTTCGCACACAAAAGGGAAGGCAGATGGTGGTAGAATCCAGCATACTAATAAAATACTTAATAAGAGCTTCGTAGTATGGGGTTTGTGGTTTATGAATTAGAGAAGCTAATTTTATAAAATTAGCATAATGGAAAAGAATAATAACATTTAGGCTGTTAAACTATTTTAGGCAGTAGTGATTGTTAGTTTGCTATTCTGTTAAGTGTCCTTGAGTAGTGTTTTATTAACACTATGCTACAAAAAAAGTTTTCCTTTCAGCTAATTGCATAGCTAGTTTTTGTTGTTTTGTTTTTCACTTTTCTAGTCTTTGAAGTAAAATTTCTGAAAACCCTCTTATGCCCTTAATTTTTCTTGTTTTCTGGTTATTAAAGAAATACAGTCTTACTGTAGAAAATATGGAGAGTAAAGAATAGTTTTGTGCTTAGAAATGTTTGTGTGTAATCCCTGCACCAATGGGAATAAGCCATTGTTAACATTAAGACTTATTTCCTCTAGTCTTTTTGATGCATTTTTTCCTTAGGTGAGATTACATGGTACATATATAAATTGTATTTTTTTTCCCACTTACCGTTATAGCCTAAACATTTTGCTTATTACATACAAATTTATAAAACATTTTTAATTGCTACACAAGTTTTTTTTTGGTAGATGAATCCTATTTCACTTAATTATTCAATTGAATAGTTGATAGTTTCCAGTTTTCACTTACAATGAATAATGTTGTGTCTATAACTCTATCTGCGTTTTTAAATTTTAATTTGGGTAAGTTCCTAGAAGGGAAATTACTAAGTGAGAAAGTGTTATTTTTACATTAAAGACAAACATATTTTTTATTGCTAAATCTATCATGTTTGCTATAGAAAAATTAGAATGTGTAGATAAGAAAAGAATCACCTATAATATCATCTTCCAGAGATAACTATTCATTACTTTCAGATCTTTTCTGTGACAGGTTACTGTGTTTTCCATGCCTCTTGTATTGATTCGCTAAAGAGGATATAAATTTATGGTTTATGGAATCTTAAAAATATTTCACAAAAATTCTAAATATGATCTAAATGGGAAGTAAGTGCTGGCCAACTTTACATATCCTTAAGAGAACCTGGCATGCAAAACTGAAATCAAGGACTTCTAAAAGCTGCTTTTGTTCATTGAAAAGCTTTCTATACAGTTTGGAGCGTTCATAATAAGTTATAATTCTTTAGCTACTACCTTAAAATGTAAGCATTTTTTAAAGCTTTCCAAAATTGTTAAAGTATCAAAATTGCATTTTTATAGCAAGAGTAGAAACAAGAAAAGGGCATAATTCTATGCTGATTGCAGTGTTTCTGGAGGAAGAGAACTTATTTATTTATTTAAATATATTTCCTGTGTTTGTTTGGGTTTTATATTTTTCATTAAAATTTTTAAACTCTTCTTCATAGTCTTGGTGTTAATCTTATGCTGTGAAATAGTTCAGATTTCACAAAGCAGCTGTAGTTGTTTGCAACAGAAGAAAGAACTTGACATTTCACTTGAAAAGTTAATCTCTGATGTTATATCTAGGCCCATAAGTGATCTTTAATTGTACATTAAAAGAAAAGTTTTTGTCATGACATATATATGCTTTGTTAGAAGTTGTTCTCTAGCTTCCTGGCACCCCAGATAAGTACTGTGTGGCCAATTAAATATTGTTCAAAATTTTCTGCCTCTTTTTTTTTTTTGGCCGGCGGGG